GTTCTGAAAACAACAATAAGCAACTTTCACCAAGTTTATTCTGGAACCGGAACAAGACTTGGAACGTAGACATAGCCGCAGATGAAAAGCCTATCACTGCTACGCCAACCACATCGTCCTGTCTCAACTTGTTTCCTAACAGTCCCATCTTTACTAATCTCGTAAATGCTGACGCTGACACCATCGTTTGTTTCATCTTCAGTTCCTTCCTCGCAACATACCATGATGCTATCGTTCTTGTCAATGAAGTAACGATGAACGAGATCTTGATCGGTATGTAAAGTCGGGAGATCGGGACTAGTCACGTTTAAGTACTTGGTCCACGACACAACCTCATGGCTTAATTTGTTTGTCACCCAAACTTCAATCTTCATTATTTCTTCACATCGATGTAACAAAGAAAGTTTATCTCCTCTGAAACTCAATAACGCAACTGTATCTAATACACCGCATTTGAATGGAAGATCGCTTACAAGTTTGAATGTTTCCGTCGAAAAATCAAAACTTTGGATGAATAATTCGGGTTTCTTGTTCCAATGTGCAACCCAATACATATTTCCTTTGGCAGACACACCATTGCAAGGCGGATCTATAGACCAATCGAAACTAGTATCATCGATAACTCTCCATGAATCAGATTTGAAATCAAAGATCTGAATCTCTGGTTTAGAAAATCTAATAACCTCATGACTCTCGTCGTCAAGCTCCCCGTCGAAAATCCGTAGAATTTTGTATTCATCGCGAGATACATTGTCGTATCCAAAACCGTAAAAATCACTACTTGCGTAAAAGTCCATCGGTTTGATCCATTTGATACGCTTCAAGAACGGGTTCCAAACCGCGAGTTTGCAGTTTCTTGATAGTGTGTTATTGCACCTACATAACAACAATCCATCGCAATGGACCATAGTCGAAATCTCAGATATATCTTCAAACTCCTCCGGGATTGGTGAAGATGAGCGAGCTCCACTGACCGGATCGATGATTTGAACCATATGATCGAGTCTTATGAATCTTTCTTGGACAAGATCCAAGTATTTGCTGATAAATCTCTTGTCTTGCAAGAGAGCGTGCCATTGTTTGCACGTCAATTTTAATTGTGTCAAATATTCTATTGGAATTTTACAAAATATTTCTTCTATTATATCAATAGGAACCAATGAACGTTCTGTGGAAGAAGCCATGAAAGTTTGAAAAGAAAAATCAGGAATTTAGACACAAAGTATATAGTCGCGCTTTTAATTCTACGTTATGGATGATACTAGACAATGAACCATTACCACTAGTTTGGTTTGAGGTTAATAATATGCACTACGTACAAAAATGCCTATTTTCATGCCTAACCATCGATTTGTTGCCTGCTCGATAAGAACCAATTAATGCCAATTTATTTTTGGTCTAAACCAAAGCCAAATTTGGACAGCAAAGTGTCAAATCATTGTAAATCATAGGAGTATCACGTGGTGTTTGGAATAAAGAAGACAAGAAAATTGTGAGTGTCTTAGTCATGCCACTCGAAGTAGAACAAAACCTGATGATGAGACACGTAACATCACACCAGAAACAAGATCCACCCTTCGTACTTATCTT